GGATTCCCTCCTGTAGGTCTTTCTTGGCTCCACTACTTCCCATAAGTAATATTTTACATTTATTTGAGTACCTGATTCGAGAGTCACATAGGCTAGAACCTAAGAGAATGCCAAGAACGCTGGTTTTTCTTTACAAAGGTTTTCCTTTCCTTCTAAGGTGTGAGCCACACCTCCAGACTCAGCCTTCTGAGTAGAAAGTGGGGGTTGGGGGGGACTTGGGAGTCCACTGTGGGGCGTGGAAATAACATCTAAAAGACCCTGGGTACAAACAGGGTTCGAGTGATTTGTATAATGATTTGCATAGGGTATTCGAGTAATCAGAGCTGGGGTTCCCTCCTGCAAGCTTCCCTGGCCTCTGCTTGCTCACACCTCACTGCTGGAGCCCCTCCTAGGCCGGTGGTGACTTTGGGTGGTCCCTGACACTCTCCTCGCTGTTCTTCTAGAAGCACGCTGGGGGACACATGTTGGTGGGAAGACTTCCTACCGTGCTGTTTGCTGGATGGCGTTGTGACTGAGCCCTCACAGCTGGAACCATTAAGGGCTGTCCTCCTTTTAATTCCCCGTGGTCGCTCTCATTCCTGCCTTAGAGAAACCGCTGATTTTCGCTTGTGAGATGCTCGGCTGAGCTTGTCATACCCTAAAAGGTGATTTCAGTTCTCTGATGCCAAAGAACCCTTTTCTGCTAATCAAAACACAGCTGCAGAGGCCCGTGTGATTTGCTAATGGGCACCCCAACTCGGGGGTATGTCTGTCTATACCTGGAAAATAGATGTAATTAAGATAACAGATATCATAAGAATATGCTAATGCATCAGGTAAAAAACGGGCTGGAAAGGCGACAGGCTCACGCTGCCAAATCCCACCAGGCGGGCTGGCTGTGCAGCTTAACCAGAGGCCAAGGCCATCACCCCAAGCCTGCTCCAGTACCAGTTCTAGAGACTTCTCTGCATCTGCTTCATCCCTTCTGCTGAGTCCCTCATACAAATTACATTTTAAAACATTTTTTTTTAGATTTTATTTTAATGTCTGTGAGTGTTTCCTGAAGTATCTGTTCTGTGTAGCACATGCATGCAGTGCCCTCTGAGAGTGAAGAGGTCCTCAGCTCTCCTGGGACTGGAATTACATATGGTTATGAGACACCATGGGGGTGCTGGGAATTGAACCCCCATCTGTTATGATAGGGCGTGAATGGGACCCTGGTGGGTGAGCCCATGATGGGCGAGAAGCAAACATGGCTGGGCAGATAGAACTTAAGTGAAAAGTCTTACAGGGGGAAGGGACAGGAGTAGGAAAGGGGAGGGAGAAGAAAAGAGAAAGAAAGAAAGGAAGAAAGAAAGAAAGAAAGAAGGAAGGAAGGAAAGAAAGGAGAAGAAAAGGTAGGAATAGTCCTGCCTACCCCTTCAGAAGAGTAGCTGGAAAGAGATGGGGAGTGGGCAGAACTTGTCTCTCAAAGGGACCTTTGCACCTGCTTAGTGACGTAGCCACCATAGAACCCTGGACTGGCTAGGGACGTGACTAAGTTCATCCTGCCAGGGGGTAGGGCTAACATAATGTCTGAATCTTAGTACCATCCACCAGCCAGTGCTCTTAACTGCTGAGCCCCACATTTCATTCAACTTAGGTACCCCTAATTTTCTGAAGAGAGAATTTTAGTAGCTTTGGGTTTGATGAAGTTGCAGACATTGCAGCATCTTAGAGGCATGTGAGGCCAAGAGGGCCAAGAGAAGAGAGACATTTCAATGTTTTGCCGTTAATAAGCATCCTATCCCTAGTGTGACTGGAGAAGACCTGGCACCTCCTACTGATTCAGGCCCTCCCCTCACTGTGGAAGGAGGACAGATGGGGAACTTGCTGGAAGGGGCGGGTTAATCTGTTGTCACCTCTCGCTACTACGTGCACTTGGGGAAGGGACTCACCTTGCTGTCCTTTGCGACCCTCAACCTTAAATGGGTTTAGTCCTGTTACCTCACTCAAAGGGGCTGGCATGGTGGAAGTTCAGATAACATTACTTTTTGATATAGTGTGTGGAGGGGTCAAAAGAATCAAGGAACAGCTCAGGGCCCTCATTCCACGGTATTACACCATCTCCCTGCCCTTAGATGATGCTTCCCTGGTCTGAACCTCAGCTTCCTCATTGGTAAAGTGGACTAATGGTGCCCACTTTCCTGCACTACTATAAATAGGCAGTCAATCGAAGTAGATAGGGGACAGATGTCCATCACTCAACAGGTACAGTCGTGCATATTTGGGCTCTGTAGCTATAGGGAGCTGAGTCTGATGTACTGGAGAGACACTCAACCTGGGTGTTCCATTTCTTGCTCATATCTCTACACAGAGTGCCAGTTTCCTACTGAAGGGCTATACTTCCAGCTTCCTTTGTGGACCATGGAAGTCATTACAAGACTTCCTCCACTACAAGAGGCCAAATCTTCCCCGTAGGCATTTTGGCCATCTGCACAGATGGCCCCTCAATGTGAATAAACATGATCCCACCTAAGGTCAGGCCAAACCTTTCTTTCTATCTTCTCTCTCTGCAGCTGTTTTTTTTTTTATGGTTCATTTATTTTTATTTTATGCGCATTGGTGTTTTGCCAGTGAGGGTGCCAAATCACTTGGCGCTGGATTATAGATAGTTGTGAGCTGCCATGCGGGTGCTGGCAACTGAACCTGGGTCCTCTGGAAGAGCAGCCAGTCTACTTAACCACTGAACCATCTCTCCAGCCCTACAGCTGGTTTGAAAAATAATGTAATATATGGTGCCAAAGGACTTGGGATGGAAAATCTGAGCCTACTAGCCGTTCAAGTCTACCCATGAACCAACCTCCCTGGCTGTTATACAAGCTCTGGGCTCAAAAGTGCCCAGCAAGGCCATCTCTTGGGCAGTCTCTCCTTTTCACTCTGTCTCACCTTTTCTCTGTCACCTTACTACCCTGACACACAGTCTGACCTAGGTGGGGGGGGGCGACACTACTTCAATCAGAACATGCATGTAACATAGGAGAACACAGAGACAAGGTAATCTATTGGAACTAACTCAGAGGCACCTAGTTAGGTTTCAGGTCTCATTGGAGTTTCCTTAAGATCAGTTCAGTGAAAGCACCCGAGACTGTCCACTGTTGCAAGACTACTTGTCCAGTTGAAAGTTCTGACAATCTTCCACTAGCCCTGTGGCTCCTTAACCCTGAAACTGTAAGAGCTGGGGACTCCCACTTAGCACTCCAGATGTCTTTGGTCTTCCCAGAAACTAGAGGATGCTCTAAGCAGCTGGATGCAGATCTCTATTTTTACCTTGGCCCTGGGCCGAGCCATGACTTCCAAAGTCTCCATCCAAAGTACCCTGAGCCTGGCTGCAGGCTAATCTAAAAAGCTTCATTTGGGAGACCTCATATCCAATTTACTTGTTTAGCTCTGGGTCCAAATCAGTCCTCAGTGTACATTGGACAAATGGCCACTGCTGGCCCAAATTGGGAACTTTCAACTTCTAATACCTAAACTGATTTAGGTAACTATAATATGGAATGGTAGCCTGAGCCTCATTCCCCACAAACCCCACAGTTCACTTTAATCTTTCTCAGTGTTCTGGCTTGCAGCTGCATCTGGAGCAGGGATGACATAGCCCTTCCTTCCTTCCTTCCTTCCTCCCTCCTTCCCTCCCCCCTCCCTCCCTCCTTCCCTCCCTCTTTTCCCTCCTTCTCTCCCTTCCTTCATACCTTCCTATCTCTTCCTGTTTTCTTTTTTTTTTTATTTTTTTTATTTTTACCTTTTCGAGACAGGGTTTCTCTGTGTAGTTCTGGAGCCTGTCCTGGAATTCGCTCTGTAAATCAGGCTGGCTTCTAACTTACAGAGATCTGCCTGCCTCTGCCTTTCGAGTGCTGGGATTAAAGTGTGTATATATACGGTGACTATATTCATTTCTGCTGGACCTCCGAACTTGTGCCTTTCCTAGCCGAGACAGCACAGAAGGCATGCTTTTGCCTACTTGTGTTTCTGCCTCTCCGAGCCTGGAAAGTCCTGCCTGTGTCTTCAGAGGCTAAGAGGTAAAAGCATTCCAGGTTGTCTGCTCCCATCTGCAGACACACACACACACACACAAACTGGTTATGGATATGTAGCTCACTAGGTTCAGTCTTGCAGAGATTTTAGTGTCTTTTGAGTATGAATAATACTGAAAAATGGTTGCATGCTATTCCATTCTACTGAAAAGGCTGGCTCTTAAGTTGGAGTTTGGATCATTTACCCTGGACTCAAGCATGTTTGTTTAAAAGTTTCTTCCAAAGTCCCTGTCCTGGCTCAGGCTGGCCACCTGACTCTGTGGCAGGGAGGAGAGAAGAACAGAACATCCTAGGGACAGATATTTAATTCTTTTTTCCCCCAAGACAGAGTTTCTCTGTAGCTTTGGTGCCTGTCCTGGAACTAGCTCTCGTAGACCAGGCTGACCTTGAATTCACAGAGATCTGCCTGCCTCTGTCTCCCAAGTGCTGGGATTAAAGGCGTGTGCCACCACCACCCAGCAGATATTTAACTCTTGAGAACACCTAAGAAGTAAACTGTTTCCCGTAGAGGTAACAAGTGGCAAGGTGTTTAAGTCCTGAATTCTCCTTCTATTTCTTGGTTTTGCTTACTATCTTTAAAGCTTTTGTTGAGCCGGGCAGTGGTGGTGCACGCCTTTAATCCCAGCTCTCAGGAGGCAGTGACAGGCGGAACTCTGTGAGTTCAAGGCCAGCCTGGTCTACAGAGTGAGTTCCAGTACAGGGTCCCAAGCTACAGAGAAACCATGTCTCAAAACAACAACAACAACAACAACAAAAAGAAAGGCTTTTGTTGAAACTTTAATTTGCTGTATTTTAGTATTTCCAAGTTCATTGAGTTTGATTTTAAAAGGATATATAGATAATCTTAATTTGCTATCACACACCACGTGACTTGGATTCAACTCTTGCCTTATGGATGTCCTTGAAGTACCATGTCATTAGCCGCCATCTTGGCTGATCTAGGCTCACCTTGGAATGCCGCGTGACTTGCTGCTGTCTTGGAAGCCTTGTGACTCAGCCACCATCTTTATTAAGGTTAAAGAAAGGGCATGTGACTTTACCATCATCTTAGTTAAGATGACCAATCAGAGCAGCACCCATAAAACGACTCCACTCACTGAACTCTCTGCTTGTCTTGTATCTGGCAACACCAGCTTCCATGATAAGGTTTGTTTTGAATCTGAGTTATAGAAAAAAATGGCATTTTGTAAAACTAGACTAAAAAGATCAATTTCTCTGTGGATTGTATTTATGGTTTTAAGTTTATTGATACTAATAGATTGATCTTTGATTAAAGATTTATAATTTATAAGACTTAAAATTAAAAGGGATAAAATTGTAAAATGCCAAACTTATAGAAGAGTTACTTACTAATCGTAAATTGTTAAAGATAATTAAGATACACAAGCTAATGGTGAGTCATGCTAAGTACAGATGTAATTTACAGAGACAAGACTGGAAGGAGAGGTCAGTTTTTATCTTCCATCCTATAGCTCCTGTTACCTCCTATCCTATAGTATTCTGCATGTGTTATCAAATTAAGTTGAAAGCAAGGGGTAAAACAAGTTTAAAGGAAACTTAAAGTTTGTTTAATGTAAAATAATACTCAAAATTGCTGGGTACTGATGGCTCATACCTTTAATTCTAGCACTTGGTAGACAGAGATAGGTGAATCTCCGTGAGCTCAAGGCCACCCTGATCTACAGATTGAGCACCAGGATAGCCAGGGTTAGTACATGAAGAAACCCTGTAGATCTCTGTGAGTTCGAGGTCAGCCTGGTCTACAAGAACTAGTTCCAGGACAGGCATCAAAGCTACAGAGAAATCTTGTCTTGAGAAACAAACAAACAAACAAAAACTCAAAATCAAATATATTTTTAAAAATGATTATTAAAAATGAATGCTTGAGTAAAATGGGTTAAATTTACATTACATTGGCATGACAGGAAAGTCCAGACTCAAGTAGTTTCCTCAGATAAGCACAAGCTCCCTCAGATGGAGCACCATCCCACCAGAGTAAGTTGCACGCTAGCCTTCTGACAGGACCAGGATGCATGGGAATACGACTGCCTAACCAACCAACCAGCCAACCAACCAACCAACCAACCAACCAACCAACCAGCCAGCCAGCCAACCAACCAACCAACCAACCAACCAACCAACCAACCAACCAGCCAGCCAGCCAACCAACCAACCAACCAACCAACCAACCAGCCAGCCAACGAACCAACCAACCAGCCAACCAAAACCCTCCTCCTTATCTGAAGAATTACTCCTCCTGTTTCTCATGAGAGGGAATGGATGCCCTTGCCCAGGGAAAGATCTCAGAGTCTGCACCCACATCCTAACTGTCTCAAACAGCAGAGAGGCAAACATCAATTCCTCTGCCCTCAGTGTCTCCTGAACTGACACGTGAGGCTGCTGGGAACAGGGAGCAAACCTTGTATGGAAGCCTACCAGCGACTAGGATGGGGTCTTCATGCTAGTTCAGTGAGTCATGCCTGATGTGGGATGGTCTTCTGTATATGCGTTGCTTTTATTGGTTGATGAATAAAGCTGTTTCGGCCAATGGACAGGCAAAATATAGCTAGGCAGGAAATCAAAGCTACAGGGAGAGAGAAAGCAGAATCAGGGAGACGTCATGTAGCAGCCCAAGAAGAAAGATGCCAGCAGCAACCTAAGGAGAAAGATGCCAGAACAGAGGTAACACCATGGCCATGTGGCAACACACAGATCAGTAGAAATGGTTTAATTTATAGAAGAGAGAGCTAGCCATTAAGAAGCCTAAGCCATTGGCCAAACAATTGTTACTGATAATAAGCCTCAGAGTGGGTTATTTTGTAAGTGGCTATGGGTGCCCAGTGGGCAGAGAGAAACTGGTCCAGTGGGACCACGGGATAGAGAAAAGTTTCTGTCTATACACACCCTTTACTTGGGCATTCAACCCTCCCCTTAGCAAAAGCTAATTTCACAGTCCGCAACCTAACTACCTATGTTCCCTGACCAGTCTCACAGTTTTATCTATCTAGCTATTTATTTATTTATTTTTTGGTTTTTCGAGACAAGGTTTCTCTGTAGCTTTTGGAACCAGTCCTGGAACTAGCTATTGTAGACCAGGCTGGCCCCTAACTCACAGAGATCATCCTGCCTCTGCCTTCTGAGTGCTGGGATTAAAGGCGTGCTTCACAACTGCCTGGCCCAGTCTTTGGAAAGTTTTGGAAAGTTATTTAGAGCATCCAAATGGTTGTTTCCAGACAACTCCTCGACTGAAGAATGGATAAGGAAAATGTGGTACATTTACACCATGGAGTACTCCACTGCAGAAAAAATAATGACATCTTGAAATTTGCAGGAAAATTGATGGAGCTAGAAAACATCATTTTGAGTGACAAAACCCAGACCCAGAAAGACAATTATCACATGTACTCATTCATAAGTGGTTTTTAAACATAAAACAAAGAAAATCAGCCCACAGATCACAATCCCAGAGAACTTAGACAACAATGAGAACCCTAAGAGAGACATACATAGATCTCATCTACATGGGAAGTAGAAAAAGACAAGATCTCCTGAGGAAATTGGGAGCATGGGGATTTGGGGGGAGGGTTGAAGGGGAGGGAAAAGGCAGGGAGGGGAGCAGAGAAAATTGTAGAGCTCAATAAAAATCAATAACAAAAATATCCAAATGGTATCTTTGACAGTTGGTTTTGTGTCTAGATGGTCAACAAATGATTCTATGAAGTGATTTCCCAAGCCCTCGGGTTCTTCAGGAGATGACTCAGATGAAGGAGTTTCTTTCCAACCTGGGCTACCCTGTGGTACTTTGAGATTATAATCCAGTCTCTACCCAGACAGAGAGCTCCGGGGCCATGCCTGTGCTCTCCCCTTGAAGCCTACATCATAAAGGCTTTGGCAGTGAAGTAAAGCACCGAGTGAAACAGAGACATTACTGCTCTCCAGGTGTTCAACGAGGCTTGTGAATATTTTCTTAAACAATTCCAAAAGCCAAAAGCTCATTTAATTTGGTTATCTTGTTTATAAATTATGCCTCTAAAGAACCAATCTATTTTAAATAGACTGATGTTAAGAAATATGCTTACCGCTGTCAGTGTGTGGTGACCTAGAGATTTGTCCTTCCACAGAAGGAGTAGAGAGTTGGCTTTAGCCTTCTTTGTTAATTCAGACCATGTTACATGTAAATTATTTGTTACAGACTTGATGTGACTGGCCGCTTTCATCTGTTGGTTCAGTGTATGGAATGAGAATGCAGAGTTCCTTTTTCTTTCTTTAAGGTCTCTGTTAATAGGGTTAATTTTACAAAACTTTGTGAAGTGAATCATTTACTCTCGACAAGCCAAACACTGTCTTTGGGAGTATAGTTTTTAAATTGGAAATCATTTCTTTCTGGGGAATACAACTTAGAATTAAATTGTCTCGTTATGCAGCCTGCCAATATAAAATATATTCACTATATAATCTTAGAATATAACTATAACATTTTATGTTAAAAATGGGTATTGTCATGTTGTCAAATACTGGATATGGTCTTTTAAGGTAATAGTTCTAATTTTTAAAATTTTACGTTGTCAATTTTTTTCTAACAAAAGTTTTGTTTTACTTGAGATACTGTGTTTTTGCACATCAAGTAGCAGCTGGTGCTGTTAATATTTGAAACAAATATACAAAGTTCATCATACATGGACGCAAGAAGTACCACCTGCCGCTTTCTGTTCATGTTTGTCTCTTAGATGCTGGCTTTAACTGACGTCTTTTACAAACCTGCCAGGTGCTGGTTCCTCGTGCAGGAGACTGATGTAACAAACAGCTGGTTAGTCACCTTGTCCTTCTACGAAGTCTGGTGCATGGTCCAGCCAGTTGTACAACTGCATTTCACCTATTTTAACTTACGTTATATTCACCCATGTTGATCTTGATGTAAACGTTTTCCCCATGTAACCCTTTCTCTTCATGATCCCTACAAATTTGTACAGTTGTTCCCTCCTGATCTCTGTTCTGGATCTTTGCCAACTGTCTAGTTCTGTCATGGCCTCTTGAATGGACCCTCTTCTGAGGCGTTCTAACTGCTGCTCCCCTCACCACCCTCTGTCAGCCTTGAAGCGGTTACTCAAAGACTGATGTCCCCAAGCCCCTAAAAGTAATTCAGGTGACCTCTAAAAGGACTAATGGACCATGGCAACCCGACTCATCCTTGTTCTTGCCACTCTGGACATTGTTTTGGGGACTCAGAACTGAAACAGCTGGACTGAAGCCACTTATGCCTTAATTCACCTCTCTGTCTCACGGGCTCAGATCAGCCTAACGGCCTTCAGGACCAGCTGGACGCAGTGCCCGCTGCAGTACTTCAAGGTTATAGGACCAGATCTGACTCCTGCTAAGGATGGGACCTGTGTGTCCCTGAACAACCCTGCTTCCACACCAACAAATCCTATCTGGTTTGAGATGGGGCCTAAAGACACAGGGACCAGGCACAGCCTCCCTCTGGTTCCCTCCCGCTCTGGCTCCTCCCCTGGGTCACTCTTTCCTCCTTATTATCCACACACCTGTGTTTTCACCTGTCTGTTAAATGCTTCACTTTCTGAGCTTCACCCTAGACCCAGACAAATGTTCCACATCAGCTCTCTTGATAGCTCATTCCCTACAATACAGCAGCTCCATTTGCTCCTGATGCATCTGCACCAGACCTTTTAGATGCCGTGGAGAAACTGACTGAAAGGGACCTTCATCCCTCTCACCCCAGGCCAGATACAATCCTTTACGTTCACCCTCTAGTCTCTCCTGTTCCCTTCCTTTGATGCCCTGTAGCCCCGGCCATATCTGCTGACTCATCTGATGTAACAGTCCTGGCAATGGGACCATCACTGTCACCCTGGATCCACTCTAAGCCCACTTTTTCCCACCTCTGTTCCTCAACTCCTCAACCTTCCTAGAAAATCTCTCGGTTTTACTCCAAAACCAAATTGCCCACTTTCATCATTCTAAAAATTATTTTCCAATTCTCTTCAGGAACACAGGACAGCAATTACTCGAACATCACAGTGGATCAAATTTAAGACTCTACTGCTACGCGACCAGAGGTCCTCATCTTCGATGGAGCTAGACATAGACCCTCCTCTGCAGAGAGGAGCTGTGACATCCCTGCTCTGCATTTGTATAGCCTTTTAGAGTTGGGATAACAGCTTCCTGATGAAGGACTACACTTCCCAGCTTCCCTTGCAGAATTCATAAGTCATTCCTGCCCCTCTAAGGGGCCTCGACTCACCTTCCCCTGTGGGCCTTTTGACCTTCTTCACACAGGAGTAACAAAGATGCCCCTCGATGTAATAAATATGGCTCTGCCTAAGGTGAGACCAGGTCTCTCTCTTTCTGCCTTTCTCTCTCCACCTGCTTTATGAAATAATCTAACGCAAAGGGCTACCTAACCCTTTGTGTACACTTCACAGTATAACTTTTACCTAGCCAGCAGACCCTTGGTGTGGGCATTCAGCTCTCAACAAGCCATGAGGGCCTCCATGTGCACATTCAACCTGGGGCCAGAGACAATGCTACCTTTGTTGTTGTTGTTGTTGTTGTTGTTGTTGTTGTTGTTGTTGTTGTTGTTCTTCTTCTTCTTCTTCTTCTTCTTCTTCTTCTTCTTCTTCTTCTTCTTCTTCTTCT